CTATATCATTTCACTGAGAGCCCAAATCTACCCTAGTACACAGCTTCTTTGGTCTCCTTTTTCCTATAGGATGTGTATGGCTGCTGCATATTAAATCTACAGTATGTGTTTATCACCTTGACACAGAAGGTGCAACCTCCACAAACTCAGACAAGGACACTCTAAAAAAAGAAAATTATAGGCCAATATCTCTGATTAATATAGATGCAAAAATGCTCCAGAAAACACTAGCAAACTAAATTCAGTAACGTATTAAAAACACCATACACCATGATCAAGTGGGATTTATCCCTGGGATGTAAAGATGTTTGATCATGCACAAACCACTAAGCAAGATATACCTCAACAGAATGAAGGATAAACATTATACGATCATCTTAATAAATACAGAAAAATCATTTGGCAAAATACAATATCCTTTCATGATAAAGATAGTCAACAAATTAGGTATAGAGATAATGACCTCACACGATAAAGGCCATATATGACAAGCCCACAGCTGACGTCATACTCAGTGGTGAAAACTTGAAAGCTTTTCCTCTAAGATCAGGAACAAGACAAGGATGCCCAGTCTAGCCATTTCTATTCAACATTAGCATTAGAAGTCCTAGCCATAGTAACTCGGCATGAAAAAGAATAAAAGACATTCAGATCAGAAAGAAAGAAGTAAAATTGTCTCTTTGCAGATGACATAATCTTATGTGTAAAAAATCATGAAGAGTCCACCAAAAAACTGTCAGAAGTAATAAATAAATGCAGTAACATTGCAAGATTAAAAATTTGGTTGTGTGTCTACAAACAATGAATTACCAGAAAAGAAATTTACAATAGCATCAGAAACAATAAAATGCTTAAAAATAAACTTAACCAAGGAAGTAAATAATCTGCATACAAAAAAATCATAAAACGTTGATAAAATCTTCAACACGACTTAAAGAAATGGAAAGATAGCCTACATTCATGAATTGGAAGAAATGATACTGTTAAAATGTCAGTACTAACTAAAGCTATCTACATTTCCATTGCAATCCCTATCAAAATTCCAATGGCATTTTTTTTCTCAGGAACAGAAAAAATAATCCTAAAATACATATAGAACCATGAAAGACTCTGCAATCTTGAGCAAGAAGAACAAAGCTGGAGGCATCATACTGTCTGATTTCAAAACATACTACAAAGCTATAGCAACCAAAACAGCATGGTACTGGCACAAAAAAAGGCATATAACCAATCAAACAGGAGAGAGAGCTCAGAAACAAATCCACACATTTACTGCCAACTGATCTTTAACCCAAAGGAAAAGGATAATCTCTTTAACAAAAGCTCTTGGAAAAACTGGATACCCACAAAGAGAAGAATAAAATTAGACTCCTATTTCATGCCATGTACAAAAATGAACTCAAAATGGGTTGAAGATTTAGACATAAAACCTAAAATTGTAAAATGACCAGAAGAAGACATGGGGAAAAAACTTCTTGACATTTGTCTGGGCAATGATATTTTAGATATGACCTCCAAAGCACAGAAAACAAAAGTAAAAACAAACGAGATTTTATCCAATCGAAAAGCTTCTGTGCACCAAAGGAAACAACCAACAGAGTGAAAAGAAAGTATACCAAATGGGAGAAAATATTTGCAGATGATGTATCTGATAAAGGGTCAGTATCCAAGATACATAAGGAAGGCAGAAACTCAATACCAAGAAAACAAACCAATAAAAATGGGCAAAGGGTCTAGCCAGTGGCTCAAACCTGTAATCCTAAGACTTTGGATGCTGAGGTGGGTTGATCAACTGAGGACAGAAGTTCGAGACCAGCCTGACCAACATGGTGAAACCCCATCTCTACTAAAAATACAAAAATTGGCGTGGTGGCGAGCACCTGTAATCCCAGCTGCTTCGGGGGCTGAGGCAGGAGAATCGCTTGAACCCAAGAGGTGGAGGTTGCAGTGAGCTGAGCTTGTGCCACTGCAGTCCAGCCTGGGGGACAGGGAGAGACTCTGTCTCAAAAAAAAAAAAAAGAAAGAAAGAAAGAAAGAAAGAAAGAAAAGAAGAAAAAAAGGGCAAAGGTCCTAAACAGACATTTCTTCAAAGAAGACATAGAAATAACCAACAAGGTTATGAAAAGGTGCTCAGTATCACTGATCATCAGGGAAATACAAATTAAAATCACAATGAGACACCACCTCACACCTTTTGGAATGACTGTATAGAAAAGGCAAGCAATAACAAATGCTGGCAAGGATGTGAGAGTGAAAAGTGAATCCTTGTACACTGTTGGTGGGAATATGAGTCGGCACAAGGAAACGAAATTGGCATCTCAAAGTGACATCTGCACACCCATGTTCACGATGACGTTATTCACATTGGTCAGGATGTGGAAACAACCTGTGTCTGTTGATGGATGAATAGATAAAGGAAATGTCGTATATTAATATAAGTACAATTTAATAATATTCTGCCTTATCAAAGAAAGAAATCCTGTCATTGGTGACAACATGGATGGACCTGGAGGACATTGTGTTAAGTGAAATAGGTCAGACACAGAAAGACAAATACCGCATGATCCCACTTAGATGTAAAATCTAAAAAACCCAAACAGTGGTTGCCAGAAGCTAGAGGATGGGGTGGGAGGATGAGGAAAAAGGATGCAGGCTCTCCTTCCCAGCAATCTTTCGTGCATGTCCCAGACCTGCCACCAAAGGGCTCCCCAATATTGTGCTGTCCCTATAGAACATAAGGTGAGTACAACATTCTATTTTATCTGTACTCTGTAGTATCCAAGCACAGAACCTTGAGAAGACAGACGCTAAGATCATTAGGTCATTCCAGGTGGACCCGTCCAAGGATGCCCGGTAAAAGTTTAGCCGTGACTGTCCGACAAAGCTCTATCTGGAGTGTTTTTCAATTTTGGTGCAGTAGATAATTCTGCTTTGGCTGCTGTCATGCTAACAGTGCGTACAGATTTGGGGAGTTGGAAAGAGATGTGCAGAAGCTCATCATTATAGATGTAGTACAAGAGACATCTATCACTCCAAAGCATAGGTATTAGTTGAAATAATTAGCAACAGTTGAGTTTTGAGTATTTACTGACAATGTTTCAATCAATTATGTAATTGTAAGTTTATGTAATTTAATTTTTAATAATGGCTGTATTTAGCAACTGGCTCTCGAAATTCCTGAAAATTTGCCGGTAGACTCTTGCGAGCACGTCTGAGCTAGCCCTGGCATGCATTCGACCTGCCACCCAGCCCAAGTTTATTGACCTCGTTACTCATAGGGACTCTGCTTTATTTTAAAATTATGTTTATGGCTTCTTGTCTGTCATCTCCTGCTAGAACATAAGCTCTGTAAGGGCAGGGATTCTGACTGGCTTGCTCACAGCGCTTCCTCCAGCACCCACAACAATGCCAGGTGCAACATAAATAGACCAACACCTGGCACGTAGTAGGTGCTCAATAGCTGTGGATGAGTGAAAGTAAGAAAGAGAATGAGATTCCTAACACAACGGTTTCATGTAAATTAGAAACGACACACCAAGACACCGCCTTGTATTCCCGGATGCGGAGTATTCAAAGCTGTCTGTCGGTGCCTGTGAGGAGGGAGGGGAGCAGAGCCAGAGGTGAAGAGTGGAAATAAATTCATACAATGAAAGAAGGGCTTTGCCTGGACAGAAACTGAAGCCTGTGATTAACTCAACTCTCTTCATCTGAGATCTGATTAGGAAAAAGAGGACATCTTCATTTGCACAGCATTTTCCAGGAAACAAGGCAGCTAGTCCCCTGCCCTGGACCACAGGGGCTGCAGGGAGGAGGCTGGCAGGTCACACTCTGTGGGGATGAGGTGTTCCTGTCTAGAAACCTGATACAGTGGGGTGGATGGGGGACGCTCAAGGAAAAGCATGCAAAGGGGGAGGCAGCCTCTTGTCAGCACACAGCTCCCAGCTGTGCATGGTGGGGGCCACTGCGTACACGTTTCTTGAAGTAATTAAATGAAAGGATGAGGCTGGGTGCGGCGGCTCACACCTGCAATCCCAGCACTTTGAAAAAAAAAAAGGGAGGCAGATTGCTTGAGGCCAGGTGTTTGAGACCAACCTGAGCAACACAGGGAGAACCCCCCCCCCCACACACACACACACACACTGCCTCCGGCTTTACAACAAATTTAAAAAGTATCGGGGCATAGTGACGTGCACCTGTGGTCCCAGGTAACCCGGAGGCTAAGAGGATCGCTGGATCCCAGGAGGTCAAGGCTGCAGCGAGCCATGATTGCATCACTGCACTCCAGCTGGGGAGACTGAGCAAGACCTTGTCTCAAAAAATAAAAAAAATAGGCTGGGTGCCGGTGGCTCACCCCTGTAATCCTAGCACTTTGGGAGGCTGAAGCAGGCGGATCACCTGAGGTCAGGAGTTCGAGACCAGCCCGGCCAACATGGCTAAACTCCATCTCTACTAAAAATGCAAAAATTAGGGCCGGGCGCGGTGGCTCAAACCTGTAATCCCAGCACTTTGGGAGGCCGAGACGGGTGGATCACGAGGTCGAGAGATCGAGACCATCCCGGTCAACATGGTGAAACCCCGTCTCTACTACAAATACAACAAATTAGCTGGGCATGGTGGCGCGTGCCTGTAATCCCAGCTACTCAGGAGGCTGAGGCAGGAGAATTGCCTGAACCCAGGAGGCGGAGGTTGCGGTGAGCCGAGATCGCGCCATTGCACTCCAGCCTGGGTAACAGGAGCGAAACTCCGTCTCAAAAAAAAAAAAAAAAAAAAAAAATGCAAAAATTAGCCAGGTGTGGTGGCGGGCGCCTGTAATCCCAGCTACTTGGGAGGCTGAAGCAGGAGAACTACTTGAACCCAGGAGGCAGAGGTTACAGTGAGCTGAGATTGCGCCACTGCACTCCAGCCTGGGTGACAAGTGCGAAACTCCATCTCGAAAAATAAAACAATAATACTAAAAGACAAATAAATGGATGAATGAATACAATTTACGATGATTCCATTTTCATTGTCATGATTTATTTGGTTTTCAGAGACACTAAGCGTGTTAAAATTTGTCTTCTCCGGAATACAATGCTGGTTTAAGGTGTCTGAGGCCCTGCTCTGGGAAAGAGTAAAGATCAGGATGCTGGGGACTGGGGCTCCTGGTGTGAGGGAGGAGGGGCTGGGGCCTGGACTCCTGGGTCTGAGGGAGGAAGGGCTGGGGCCTGGGCTCGTGGGTCCTGAGTGGAGAGAGGAGGCAGCTGACAAGGTCCATCCCTCCATGACGGCCATCATTTGCCCCGCATCGTTTCCTCAATCCAGCTTCGGTACTTGCACAGGTTGGTGTAGACACCGGGGTAGCCAGGCAGGGCGCAGCGCTCCATTCCCCAAGACACGAGACCCTGGAGCTTTCCTTTGCACACCAGGGGTCCCCCAGAGTCACCCTGAGGGGAAGGAACAGAGATGGAGACACTGAGGGACAGGTGGCCAGCGCCGCGGCACAGAGAACCCGGGAAGCAGAGACAGTCACGGAGACAGGCAGAGATGGCCGGGCAGACAGGTAAGGACGTTGTCCTGCCCCAGCCCTGAGGTCTCAGCCCCGGAGGTGGGGCACTTCCTTCCCTCTCCACTGGGTCTGGCTCTGTCTCTGTGTCTGCACCTGCCTGTCCCTTGAGTCTCACCGGGCCCCTCTCTGTTTGCTCCATCTCTAGAACGCTTGTGTGTCTCTTCCTCTGTCGCCGTCTCCGCCACTCTCAAGGATGCATTCAGATTTCTAGAAGCCTCAGCGCAGTCTTTCCCAGATCCTTATGTGCGGACACCACTCTACGATCTTTCCCCAGCCTGTCTCATCCCATTCCCCCAACTACCCTGAGAGGGTTATCCCCACCTGACAGACGGGGAAACTGAGGCACGAACGCTTTGAGTCCTTTACCCAGACGGCACAGGGCTAGGAAGCAGGGCGGACTGGCTACTGGAATCTCTCTGTCCCTGCAGTTCCTTCTGTTCCGAAGACCTCTGCAGACCTCCATGCTCCTGACATGATTTGGGGCCTAAATCCCAGTCCCAAATAATCCCTCCCCCAAGCTCCCACCCTGGGCCTTACCTGACAAGAGTCCTTCCCACCCTGGGGAACTCCTGCACAGACCATGCCAGGCTTGATGGCTCCGGGATAGGCCTTCCCGCACACCTCATCCGGGGAAATGTTGATGTTCACGCATTGCAGAGAAGTGGGGTACCTGGCTGGGAGGGGGGCACTGCAGGATTATGACTCGGTCTACCCTCCCATATGACCCCAGTGTCCAGGCCCCCAGGCCCTCCTCCCTCAGACCCAGGAGTCCAGGCCCCGCCCCTCCTCCCTCAGACCCAGGAGTCCAGGCCCCGCTCCCAGCTTTCACAGATGCAGGAAATCCTCACCGATGGGGCTGGACGTAGTCCCCCAGCCTGACACACGGCAGGAGGTCCCGGGGCTGGCGCAGGCCTGGGCGACTTCAATGGGCCTGATTGCCCTCCCGATCCGCGCAGGCTGCTGCAGCTGCAGCAGCATGAGGTCGCTGTCGTGGGTCCGGGAGTTGTAGTTTGGGTGTGTCACCTGGCGAACCACACGCAGCACCTGCTGGGTGGCCTCCCACCTCTTCAGGTTGTGCTTGCCCAGGGCGACCCGAAGAATCCTGGCCAGGACCCCCAAGAGGAGCGCAGCTCAGGGTCTGAGCCGGGGACCCCTCCCCACCCTCCAGCCCCGTTTCCTGGCCCTCTAGCTGGGTAATGAGTCTCCCCACCCCCCCACCCCCCCCCCCCCCCCGCCCCGGGTCCAGCCCGCTTCTTACTAACTGCAGGCCGAGTGTTCTTGGCCTCCTGCGCCTTTCCCCATGGCCAGGGCATTCCCTCGGCCCAGCCCCAGTTGCTGTTCATTCTGCTCTTGGGCTGAGCTCCAGCTCCTGGCTTGGGAAGAAGGTGTTGATTGGGAGAGTTTGGCTCCGTTCCAGGGTCTGTGCTGGGCTCTGTGTTTTCAGTTCTAAGTGAAACTCTGGGTAATGACTCCAGGCTCTAAGTCAGAACTGTCATTCTGGAGTAGGCTTCATTCCGTTTCTAGCCTGGACTCTGGGTTCCAGACGTCTTAAACTTTTGACTCTATGCTAAGATCGGGATTCTAGATCGAGCCTGGATTATGACTTGATTCTTTTTTTTTTTTTTTTAATGGAGTCTCACTCTGTCACCCAGGCTGGAGTGCGGTGGCACAATCTCAGCTCACTGAGACCTCCACCTCCCAGTTCAAGTGATTCTGCCACCTCAGTGTCCCCAGTAGCTGGGACTACAGGTGCCCACCACCACACCTGGCTAATTTATATATTTTTAGTAGTAGAGACGGGGTTTCACCATATTGGCCAGGCTGGTTTCGAACTCCTTACCTCAAGTGATCTGCCCCCCTCGGCCTCCCAAAGTAATGGGATTATGAGCGTGAGCCACTTTGCCTGGCTATGACTTAATTTCTAGATTCTGATGTGAGCTTTCTATTTTAGGGTAGGTTGAGGGTTTTGTTTTGAGCAATGGATTAAGACCTGGGGTCTGGACACATCGAAATGAGCTCCAGTTTCTGGGTGGTGCTCTGGGTTCTTCATTAAACTCTGGTTTATGAGCCATTCGCAGACAGGAGTTTGAGCTCTGGGCTCCCTCCAGTTGGGGTCAGGGTTCTCTACATTGGTCTGAGCTCTCGATTCCACAGGTCTGTTTCATATTAGATTACAGGGCTCTTGGTTCTAGACTCTGGTCTGAGCCCTGACCTCAGGGTGGGCTCTGGGTTCTAGATGAAGCTCTAGGTTATGGCCTAGGATCCAAGGTCCTGGAGTCTGGTTTGCATTCTGGCCTTGATATTCTAGACTCTAGACTGAGCTTTGATCTCAAGTTTCTAGCCTGACCTTCCATTTATGGCATAGATATGGCTTATAGGCATTTTGACTTCTTGGCTGGGGTCTAGGTTGTAAATTCAGATCTAGAATTTAGGAGGGGTCTAGGTTTTACATGGGGCTTCCGATTAGGATCTGCATTCTGGGATTTATTTATTTAATTTTCGAGATGGAGTTTTGCTCTGTCGCCCAGGCTGGAGTGCAGTGGCGCAGTCTTGGCTCCCTGCAACCTCCGTCTCTCAGGTTCAAGCAATTCTCCTGTCTCAGCCTCCCGAGTGGCTGGGATTACAGGCATGCACCACCATGCTCAGCTAATTTCGTGTTTTTAGTAGAGACAGGGTTTCTCCATATTGGTCAGGCTGGTCTTGAACTCCCAACCTCAGGTGATCTGCCCGCCTCAGCCTCCCGAAGTGCTGGGATTACAGGCGTGAGCCACCACCGTGCCCAGCACATTCTGGGATTTAAACACTGGGTTGAAGTCTGTGATCTAGGCTGCTTATCTCAAAGCTATAGACTAGACTCTGAACTAAACCCTGGATGTGAAACAGGCTCCTGGTTTTGCCTCTACTCTTGTGTTGTATGTTCCAGCTGTGAGCAGGGTTCTAGTTCTGGATTTATGGCTAGACTATAGGTCCAGAGCTGGGCTCTGAGTGCCACGTACTGTCCTGGGTTTCTAAATGTAGACAGGGTCCTGAATTCAGTCACCAATCTGGAATGGGCTAAGCTTAGTCTTGATGTAAAGCTTGGCCTCTGGATGAATCACTGGGTTAGATGTTCGGTTCTCAGCAGGCCCATCTGGTTTCAGAATCTAAACGGAGTTGGGGATTTATGGAGGTGTCCACATCCCAAGCTGTGTTTCTGGCTCCAGGCTCTTCTCTAGACCTCAAACCAGGAGCCAGCCACTACACTGGGCTCTAGATCTCCATTGAGATCCAGGTTCTCAGTTGAGTTCTAGGGCTTAGACTCTGGAATCCACCGGGCACAGGGACAGGGGAGGGGGTCACTTACGGGCGGCCGCAGTGAGCAGCGGTGATGACCCACTGGTCTGAAAGCAGAGCGCCTCCGCAGAGGAAGCGGCGCCCGGGACCTGCCAGCAAGGCCGCCTGCCACGGCTGGGAGCTCCGGGCACACGTGTAGCCACCAATTATCTTGTTCTCATCGTCTTGGCTCCGTGTCATGGCTAGGAGTGGACGGCGTTGGGTGGGGAGAGCAGGTGAGCAAACACTCTCCACTCCCCACGTTTAGGATTCCAGAACCGACAAATCCCCTTCCTTTTGGCCTAACCCCTAAGCCGCCCACCTCTATCCGTCCCACCCAGGGTGAGACATGTCCAGTATCGACCCCGTGACTGTCCCGACACGGAGAGTTTTCTGACTCACCTCCCAAGTCACCTGCGTAGCGTCTCTTACTTTGCGCTGTGGCCACCTTATCCGGGGCCCTATGTCCTCGGCCCTCAGCTCTGTGCTCCCATCATGTCTGTGATCGCTTCTCCCGATATCCCACGTTTCCCCCAGTGAGCCCTTCCCCAGCACATTTAAGGACCTCCCTGTATCTTTCCCAACACTCCCACGCAGCAGGACCCCAAGGATCCACCCTATCTTGCCTATGCTTGCCCCCATCCACCACGCCACACCCCATGGCACATCCCACCACCCCATCATCCTTCTTCTCCCTCTGACGTCAAAACATCTTCCCCACGTTGCCTCTTTCCTAACGAGGTCGAGGAGAGCCCGATCTCAATGGAGAGCTGGGACCCAATGTAGTGGCGGGCGCCTGGTTCGAGATCTAGAGAAGCGCTTGGAAGGGAAAACCGGAACAGCTTTCTGCTAGGACCCACTCGGGACCTAATAGTGCTCTACGATTCCTTATTGATTTAGCACCAGATCCTGTAAACACGTCTCTCCCCAGCCCCGCGGTTTCCTAGCACCTCCACCACCGGGACTTCAGGCCTCCAGTGCGCCCTCCCGCCATGTTCCCTAAACTGCTCCCTGCTCTTTCTTATCAGGTCACCAGGAGCATCCGGGGACCCCAAGGACCCTTCCCCATCTCTTCCTGGGGTCTGCAGGGGACCCCCTTGTCTCATACTCAACTGTTCTCTTACCTACAGCCAGGACTTGAAGTGCCGCGAGCAGGAGGAACATTTTAGGGGCTGAGGGCCAGGTGCTGTCAAACGCAGAGAGAGAGAGTGAGAGAGGAGGAACCTTCCGCAGAATCCGGGGCTGCCAGGGAGAGACAGCGAGGGCCACTTACCTGGAGCCCAAGACCCTCAGAGACATGAAGACAGAGCGGAGAGGTGGAGGCCAGAGACCAGGAGGGCGGGGTCTGCAGGCTGGAGGATGTGGAGCGGCCTCAGGGCCCTCCTTGATGTCCTGGTGAAGGAAGGAGGGGAGGTGTCTCTCTTCCTAGTCACGCTGGCAAAGCCTTTTATCCCTGGTCGGGACAGCTGGCCCTGCCCCCACTCACTCCCGCCGCCCTGCTTCTGACATTTTTTTTTTTTTTTTTTTATTGCCTGGTTCCCATTCCAGGACTCCCTGATCCCATCCCCTCCCTCCTCTCTCTGGCCAAAAAAGCAGCCACAATTGTTCATGAGAACCCGCCCGGGGAAGATGCTATAATCCAGAAGGAATCCTGGGAGGGGACCCCAGGGCAGGGTGGGCAGGGGAGGGCTCCCAGTTGCTGGAGGTGGTGGATCCGGTGGTGGAGTCAGGACACCAGGGTGGGGACCCTTCGAGGAAAAGGCACCAAGGGGCTGAGAGAGGGACTCACGGGAGGAGACAGAGACAGACAGAGACAGAGACAGAGAGACAGACTGAAAGAGTCAGAGAGACGGAGACAGAGACGGAGAGAGATAGAGATGGAGAGACAGAGGGGGGAGAAAGACAGAGAGAGACAGAGAGAGAGAAAGGGAGACACAGAGAGAGACAGCGGGAAAATGAATGGGAAGATGAGACAGTGGAGAGACAGTGTACAGGAATCCGAGCACAGAGGGACACATGCTCACAGGAGAAGGAGCTGTGGAGAGCGGTGGGGAAAGACGTGGAAGCTGGACGTGACAGGGAACAGGAGAGGCAGATGCTGGGAGAAAACCAGATGGAGGAGGAGGGAGACAGAGGTGCCGGGAGAGAGGAGTGTGGAGAAGCGGAGGGAGAAGAGCAAAAGTGAAGACAGATGGAAACACACAGAGAAAGAGGCGAGGCGCGAGGCGGAGATCCCCCCACAGGCTGCACCACCGCAGACACAGAACAACAGCGACGATGATGAGGGCCTTGCACGTGGGAGACGTGGAGCGGGGGAACGGGACAGGCAGGCAGATGGCAGACGGGAGGTGGGAAGGAGGGCAGCTATAGGGGATGGGGACAGTGACAGGGAAGACGGAGGCGGAGGTGAGAGATGGCAGCGCCAGGGAGAGATGGAGAGGGCGGGAGGGAGGGAGCACGGGCAGGAGGAGGGCGGGAGGTACCTGGACTTGGAGCAGGGCTGCCCACCTTGCTTTCTCACTTTTGGCTCCTGAGAGATAGGGGAGCAGAGGCCCCAGCAGGGAGATGCAGAGAGAGCGACAGGGACCCAGAGAGAGAGGGGGACAGAGATCGAGAGGGGAGGGGATGGCAACCCAGAGAGAGAGGGGGACAGACCCAGAGAGAAGGGGGGCAGAGACCCAGAGAGGGCGGGGACAGGGACCCAGAGAGAGAGGGGGACAGAGACCCAGAGAGAGAGAGGGGGACAGAGACCCGGGGGGGGGGGACAGAGACCCAGAGAGCGGGGGGAGGGACAGAGACCCAGAGAGAGAGAGGGGGACAGAGACCCAGAGAGAGAGGGGGACAGACCCAGAGAGAAGTGGGGCAGAGACCCAGATAGGGCAGGGACAGGGACCCAGAGAGAGAGGGGGGCAGAGACCCAGAGAGGGCAGGGACAGGGACCCAGAGAGAGGGGGGGACAGAGACCTAGAGAGGGGGACAGACCCAGAGAGGGGCGGGGACAGAGACCCAGAGAGAAGGCGACAAACACCCAGATGGAGACGACAGACTCAGAGAAGGGGACAGAGCTTCAGAGACAGAAGGACAGAGTCTGAGAGAGCGTCAGATTCAAAATGGGAGAGGGCAGAGAACAGGAGAGACGAGGGAGAGGGGAAGGATTCTGGCTAGTCTGCAGAGGGGTTCTGGAGCTGGCGGGGATCCATCCTCATTTCCAGGAGGGCCTACTCTCAGTCCCTCCCCCAGCCCCTTAAATTCCCTAACGCTTGTGTCTGTCTCTGGGCCTGGGCAGCCCCTCGCCTGGACCACGTGGTGACTCAGGAGGCCGCCTGTGACTGTTCCCGCAGCCTCAGCCTTCCTCCGCCTGGGCACCGGCCTCGGCTGGCTCTTTGAGCTGATGCTTGGGCCGGGTCTGTCTCTGCACCTGGGGACGCACTATCTGTGCACCTGCCTCTGAATACACACCGTCTCTCCCCAGGAGCCGTTCTCTGTTTCCTGAACTGTTCCTGTTTAACTACAGGCCTCCCTGCTTTGAGCTGAAGGCTTTGGGGAGCCTTCCCGGCCTCCTCTGCCATGGTTCAGGCTCTGCATCCACACAAGAAGCCGCTCTTTTCTTTAATTTTATTTTTATGTTTTGTTTTTTTGTTTTTGTTTACTTTTTTGAGATGATGTCTCGCTCTTTAGCCCAGGCTGGAGTGAAGCGGCATGATCTCGGCTCACTGCAGCCTCTACCTCCCAAGTTCAAGCGATGCTTCTGCCTCAGCCTCCTGAGTAGCTGGGATTACAGGCACCCACCACCACGCCCAGCTCATTTTTTTGTATTTTTAGTAGAGACAGGGTTTCACCATGTTGGCCAGGCTGGTCTCAAACTCCCAACCTCAAATCTCCACCCACCTTAGCCTCCCAAAGTGCAAAGATGACAGGTGTGAGCCACCGTGCCCAGCAAGAGCCCCCTCTTTTAAGAAAGGATTCTCTTGGGACCCAGGGATGAGGTGGCAGGAGGGAGCTGCTCTGTGATGATGAATCAGCCCTGTACTGGATGTGGCAGTGATTATATGAGTCTGCACCTGAGCTCAAGGCACACATAAACCCCACATGCACACACACACATGCAAAGAAATGCGTGTGAAGAGGGAATGTGCAGCGTGGTCTGTAGTCTCGTTAATAGTTTGGTTCTTGTGTGGCTTTACTGATTTCCATTCTGGACTGAGTTCCATAAGGTGTCACTATGGCGGGAGGGCAGGTGAGGGAGATGCCCCCCACCTGCACTGCGTATGTAACCCCTGGGGAGTCTATAATTATCTCAAAGGAAAAAATTAAAAATAAAACAGAATTTCCTAGTAAACACAAGGTCTCCTTCTTCCTAAAAAGTCCACTCTGCTTAAGCAGAAGGCCTTGGTGAACCCACAGGAGTCCAGGAGTGACTCCTTCATGTCACCCCACCCCAGTGTTCCAAGAGAATTCTTTATTGCCTGTAATCCTAGCACTTTGGGAGGTCGAGGCAGGTGGATCATCTGAGGTCAGGAGTTCATCAAGGTCATGTCATCGAGACCAGCCTGGCCAGGTTTCTTCTTCCTTTTTTTTTTTTTCTTTTTAAAATAGGGTCTCGCTGTGTTGCCCAGGCTGGAGTGCAGTGGTGCAATCACAGCTCACTGAAGCCTTGAACTCCCCGGCTCAAGCAATCCTCCCACCTCAGCCTCCTGAGTAGCTGGGACTACAGCTGTGCCGGCTACCACAGCCAGCTAATTTTTGTCTTTTTTTGTAGCGATGGGGTCTCATGATGTAGCCCAGGTTGATCTCCAACTCCAGGGCTCAAGCGATTTGCCTGTCTTGGCCTCTGCAAGTGCTGGGATTATAGGCTTGAGCCACTGTGCGCAGACAGGGAACATTTTTTAAAATGAGGGCGTGGTGGGGGTGGTGGGTCAGATTTTGGAGAGAAAGGTTCCTGGTGGTGTGCTAGGGGTGGATTGTGGCTGGAGCAGAGCAGGCCACAGGTGCAGACAGCTCTTAGCTGTGAGGGGAGGGAAGGATGCTTGACGCGACTGTTGATGAGAAAGAAAAGCCCGGATGACACTCCGAACAAAGACACTCACTCACATGTACTCGGTGCTCAGCACAGCCAGGCACTGTGATGAAATCTTTCATTTTTCTTTTTTAGATGGAATCTCACTCTGTCACCCAGGCTAGAGCACAGTGGCACGATCTCACTGTAACCTCCACCCCCGTGGGTTCAAGTGGATTCTCCTACCTCAGCCTCCCGAGTAGCTGGGACTACAGGCACGCATCACCACGCCCAGCTAATTTTTATGTTTTCAGTAGAGATGGGGTTTCACCATGTTGGCCAGGTGGCTGGTCTCCAACTCCTGACTTCAGGTGATCCACCCGCCTCGGCCTCCCAAAGTGCTGGGAATCCAGACGTGGACTACCACGCCCAGCAGATGAGCCCCATTTTAAAACGTTTAAACTTTAGGAAAACTTAAACTTTTTATTGTTGTAATAAATGTAGCATAGAATCTACCATTGAACCGTTTTTGGGTGCAGGTCAGTAGGATTAAGCACATTCACATTGTTGTGTAGCCATCATCCCCCTCTAACTCCCCAGATGTTTTCATCAACCCCAAAATCTGTACCCACTAAATGATAACTCCCTGCTTCTCCCTCCCCCAGCCCCTGGCAACAATTCTACTTTCTATCTCTATGAATTTGACTATTCTAAGTACCTTGCATAATAGGAATCAGCTTTTTTTTTTTTTTTTTTTTTTTTTTTTTTTCCAAGAAATAGGTCTTACTCAGTCACCCAGGCTGGAGTGCAGTGGTGCAGTCACGGCTCACTGCAGCCACAACCTCCTGGGCTCAAGCGATCCTCCCCCTTCAGACTCCTGAGTAGTTGGGACTACAGGTGTGCACCACCATGCCCAGATAGTTAAAAGCAATTTTTTTTTTTTTTAGAGATGGGCTCTCACTATGCTGCCAAGGCTGGTCTTGAACTCCTGGCTCAAGTGATCCTCCTCCCACCTCAGCCTCTCAAAGTGTTGAGACTACAGGTGTGAGCCACTGCACCTGGCCAAAGGGAATCATATATATATTTGTCCTCTTGTGACTGGCGTATTTTACTTAACCCAGTGTCCTCAGCATTCATCCACGTTGTCGCATGTGCCAGACTTTCTTTCCTTTCTTAAGGCTGAATGTTATTCCATTGTGTGTATAGACCGCATTCTGTTTAACCAGCCAAGTTCTTTATCTGGGGTAGTGCCTTTCCTCTTTCTTTTCCTCCCTCTTTCCCTTCATCCCTCCGCCTTCTCTCACCTGCCTTCCTTCTCTCTCCCCGCTCTCTTTTAAGCAGATATTTATCAAGCGCCTGTTCTGTACACCCTCATAGTTCTAGGGTCTACAGCCGTGAACACAATAGATACCCCTTCCAAAAAAATCCCTGCCCTACTGATGTTTATATTCTGGAGGAAAAAGAAAGTACATAAATACAATAAATGACATTACGAGTTAGGAGGGTCTATGAAAAGGTGGCAGCAAGGGCCTCCCTGCAATGGAAGGGGGTCTGTAGGTCTGGGAACTGCGAGAGGGCCAGTGGGGGGTTGAGTGGGCACGGAGAGAATAGACAATGAGGGCAGTGAGGTCATAGAAAGTCTGGCCTTCTTGAGAGAGGCAGTATCTTGTTCCCATTTTACAGACAGGGAAACTGAGGCCGAGAGAGGAGGTGGCTTGTCCAAGGTCCCACAGCTGGTAGGTGCAGGAGGCAGCAGAGAGACTCCAGGACTGTCGGAACCTGCACGCCACGCTCTTAACTCTTCCTCCTGTTGTCTCCCAAGGCCACTGTCAAGTTCATTTGTACACTGATGTGTGTGTCCAACGCGATTGGAACACATTTCATGAGAATGAACTCCCTGACACCTTCCCCTGGCCATGGGCGCACTCGTGAGTACCTCCAGTATTGTTAACTCCCCTCATTGTACAGATGGAGGAAGCCAGGATGGAGATACTCAGCCACTCACCAAGGTTACACAACGCTGAGTGGGGATGCCATGATGTGAGACCAGGTGGAGGGCTCTTACCCAGCTCCTGAGACGTTCA